AGCCGGTGGACCGTCAGGTTTGTTGTTGTACAAGCAAATTAAGGTTATATTGCTTGGATAACTCTCTTATATTAAATCTAAGGCGCTTCTCCGGAACAAAGTAGAGAAAACACAAAAACAAGACAGTGTATTCCTAACGATGGTTGAGGACCCACATAATTTTCTTTTTGCTACGATATAAAGTACCTCAATGGTGATATTTACTCCAAAAAACAATAGCGATATGAAAAATATCAATTAGATGAAACCATTATTCTACTAATGATATCCTACATGGAATAATTAGTAAACATCTCAAATAACGAAATCCATGGATTCTCTTAATCCTTTGTCATTAGATATTGCATCAATCCATCTTGAAAAAATCTGTTAATATCTCAAATGTGTAAATAATAAGACCAAATAAAAAAAGATTGCCTGATGTGTTAGTATGAAGAACAAGTTTTAAATGGAACAAACTTATTGGCCTCAACAATCTGACAAATAAAATAAAATATGACATCAATTATGTCACCAATTTGTAGTTGTCATGCTACAAATAGTTGTTACTATCATATTAAATCACAAGAGATTCTTGGTCACAAGCTATTGTCACGACACGACTGCAAGTCGTTGTTTTCAGTAAAGAATCAAAACGTTGAACAAAAAAATTCATCCGAAGAAAACGCAGCCCACATGAACTGCAAACTGTACTATCTTTTTGTAAACGTTATCGAATTTTGAGAGAGAGAGAGAGAGTTGAAAATGATTTTTGCTACTGTAGTTTCCGTTGGCCGAAAACCTACACGCAAGTGCACGTATCGTACAAGTAATAAAGTGGATTTTTTTAAGTCCAAGTATCGATCCCACAGAAAATATTTAATTATCTAATCCTAGACGCTAAATTCTACCAATTGTTATCAAGCCCACCCTACACCGAAAGATGATTAATAAACTAAATTAAACCAAAGCAATTAAAACGAAGATTTAATCAGATAAAACAAGCCTAGGATTTTATTCTTCCCCCTATGTGATTATTATTCCCCCAATTCTTTCAATTATGCAAGCAATTAACCCGGATTATTAACCTGAGATGCTAAAATAATCATAATCCGCTTCCGCGTGTATTACAATTCTAATACCCTAGATTCAATTACTGTATTCCTACGCAATTAATTCTAGAACATAGCATTAAGCACAAATCTCAATAATGGCTACCTAAGAGATTAACTATATTCCTATGTTAATACCACAAAGGCTCTTCTACCACAGTTCTAATTATTAACCCGATCTTCCGATTCATGCGATTAACAATAACATAAAAGCGCATAAGTTGATCAAGTTCATGCACTTAATAAAACAAGTAGAAGAAATAATCCGGAATTAAAACTTGCATAAAATCATAGAATTGGGTTCATAAATCCCACATAGGGTTCCAAATAAAATCCTAGAAATAATTAAAGACTTAGCTACTCGTAATTCTTATGATAAATAAAATAAAATAAATAAATTAAATAAGAAAAACTATGCTTGAATCTTCGTTGATCTTCTTTGCTCTTGAATTTGCGTAAAAAGATTGATCCCAATTGTGTGCTTGGTTTGGTCTTATATAGGGTGAAAAACTTGGGGAAGAAGGCAGTTTCCTTGTGCAATTAAAATCCCTTTTCTGTGCAACTTCGGAGTCTCGGACGGGGGTCCCACGATTTGCACTAAAACTGGGATGGGGGTCCAAGCTTTAAATCTTCAGAATTTTGATTTTTTCACTTTTGGCCCATATTTTCTCCAAAATTGCAGTTTTGACCCCATACTTTTCCAATTCTTCAATTTGTACCTAAAATACAATAAATCAACTTTTTAAGCACCAATTATCTTTAAAACACACCAAAAGCTCAAATAAAAAGGTACGATAAAGTGTAAAAATATACACTTAACACACCCCCAAACTTGAACTTTTGCTTGTCCTCAAGCAAAATCTACCAATAAGCAAATAACTCAACTATTACATCTCATCACATAGATCAATGATCAACTTCACGTTTTCAGAACTTGTAATTATAATGACAATTCTTAGGCATTCGCAAGCTCATAATTCAACAACACTAGTCACTCACCATTACCAGAAACCACAATTCATACAATTGCTTCAAGCATCCAATATTTGCAAATTAAAGATAGAAAGAATTTATACTTACATGCATATGCTTGACTCCAAATACTCACCAAATTATTCTACTCTACTAATATCGAACATTAAGCTATTGGGATCATTGGGGCATTGTGGCTTTCAATTGTTAGGCTCTTTGGTTCGAGGTAGGAAATATGGGTATATTTGGCTATTCTTCTTGAATTTAGGTGATTACGCCAAAATTTGAAAGATAGGCGTTTGAAACAATGAATTGACCTCTACGGACTTTAGTAAACTCGATTCTCAAAAGTTCAAAAGTCTCCACTTTTGCTTTTGAGGCAATGGATCGAGTTTCCAAAAATAATTCAACAACTAGTCCTTATTTCTCCCTTCTAGTCTCTTCTTCTTCTTTTTCTTTTTCTTTTTTTTTTCTTTTTTTTTCTTTTTTTTTTTTTTTCGAAGAAGAAGAAGGACCTTATAAAAATTTTCGACCGAACTCCAAGGGGTAATTTTCAAGAATCTCCACCTATTCTACCTTACACATTGGCTAAAAGAAAGAACACCTTTTCTCCGAGGCTCAAATCAAGGTTCTAAGGATAATCTCGATAAAAAGGTCGGCTTGAAAGGCTCAAACGGTTCAAAGAAGGCCCAAATCGTATCCCAAATCGCTTACTACTCAATACTTCATATCATAAATTCCTCAGGTGAGTCTTAAAACCGAACATAGCATGATCTAGCACAAATTAATTCCAAATTTAAAATACAAAACATTCAACAAAAGCAATGCACAAAATGTGATTCCTAGCAATAATTCGCTTCTAAGTCCTGTTGAATCGAAAGCTAAACAAACATCAAATCCTTATCACATAAAACAAGCAATTTCATCATCAAACATTGATCATCTATCATCATCATAAATCATAGATGCATTCGACTCAAGCAAATTTTTTTTTTTCTTTTATATTCCGGAAAAACGAGAAAAACAATAAAAACGAATAAAACCTAGTGCATGCAAACTAAAACAAATAAGAACAAAAACATGCTTTTCATCCCCAAACTTAAAATTTTCGTTGCCCTCAACGAAATTAGCACAAAGTTTAAGGATAGAAAACACCTGATTTAGTCGGAATCGTCGTCATCGGGGTATGAGAATTCGCGGGAAGGCAAAACGAATTTTTTGTTTTTTTTTTTTTTTTGCCCTTACTGGTTGTGGGACGGCCGTCCCACATTTTAGGCCATTTTTCGGACGGCCGTCCCACAGACAGAGCTGCAGAATGCGGCCTTCTGTTTCCCGGACGACCGTCTGGGATTTTGCTTGCGATTTCGGACAGCCGTCTGGACCCCTTGAACATGTTTTCGACCCTGAAAATTAAAATTCAAATAAATTAATTAGAATGCATGCCTATAACAATAAAAACGAAACGAAAAATATAAAGAAAACTACGAAAACAATAAAGCTCGGGTTGCCTCCCAAGAAGCGCTAAGTTTTAAGTCTTCAGCCAGACTTTTCTTCTTAAAATTGTTATGTCCAATCCAAAGCCTTGTAGATTGTACATCCATCCATGAGTTTTTTCACTTCAATTGCAACCGATACAAGGATAGGATTGCAATATGTCAAGGTCCACCTTAGCTTGTAGTCTTTCTTAGTTGTAATCAATCGGTACGAAGCCAAAATGGGATCTTCATCACCTGCTCCCTCAAATCGGTACACAAAAACCTCACGTCCGCGTATAACCTCCACTTCAAACACATTCGTCTTCTCATCAACCTCTATTGATGCCTTCAAAGCCACGTCAGGAATAACAATAAGATCATCAATTTGAATATTTGCACTAACCACATCCATCCCCTTCTTCTCTTGTTCCGAGACATCTTTCGAGTTGAGCTCGATTGCATTCTTATATTCATTATCCTTAAGCGTCTTCGTAAGTTCCTTTTCCTTCTCATCGACAATATTTTCTAGGTCTAAAGGATTTTTCTCACTACAAGTTGTAGACGGATTTTCTTTGTTGCAACCATTCTCGATATTGTCTGAAATATTTTCAAGAGACCTTTGGCGCTTGAATTCTTCCAACTGTAACTCCAGTCTCCGGATAGATGCTTGAGTGGATTTCATAAATTCTTCCAGGACGGAATTCAAAGAACACTCCTGAACAGTGGGCTCTCGTGGCGTGTTGGTGTATGTGTTCCAATAACCGCCGTTGGTGTTATCTATGAAATTATTCGCTTTCGGTGCATACCAACATTGGCTAGTGTAATGATCTTCACCACATCTTGAACAAAGTAACGGCATATTATAGGTATTTTGGAGGTATTCGCCAGACGGAAGCCATTCATATCCCGTTTGAGTTTCGCGAAAATTGTAACCTGACATGTAACCAAAGAAAAGAAAAAAAGATATATTAAAAAAAAAGAGAAAAAAAATAAAAAAAAAATTAATTTGGGTGAATCGTGAAAATTGTTCAAATCTAGAGCTAGACTAAAATAAATAATTAAAATATTCCACGGCAACGGCGCCAAAAACTTGTTGGCCGAAAACCTACACGCAAGTGCACGTATCGTACAAGTAATAAAGTGGATTTTTTTAAGTCCAAGTATCGATCCCACAGAAAATATTTAATTATCTAATCCTAGACGCTAAATTCTACCAATTGTTATCAAGCCCACCCTACACCGAAAGATGATTAATAAACTAAATTAAACTAAAGCAATTAAAACGAAGATTTAATCAGATAAAACGAGCCTAGGATTTTATTCTTCCCCCTATGTGATTATTATTCCCCCAATTCTTTCAATTATGCAAGCAATTAACCCGGATTATTAACCTGAGATGCTAAAATAATCATAATCCGCTTCCGCGTGTATTACAATTCTAATACCCTAGATTCAATTACTGTATTCCTACGCAATTAATTCTAGAACATAGCATTAAGCACAAATCTCAATAATGGCTACCTAAGAGATTAACTATATTCCTATGTTAATACCACAAAGGCTCTTCTACCACAGTTCTAATTATTAACCCGATCTTCCGATTCATGCGATTAACAATAACATAAAAGCGCATAAGTTGATCAAGTTCATGCACTTAATAAAACAAGTAGAAGAAATAATCCGGAATTAAAACTTGCATAAAATCATAGAATTGGGTTCATAAATCCCACATAGGGTTCCAAATAAAATCTTAGAAATAATTAAAGACTAAGCTACTCGTAATTCTTATGATAAATAAAATAAAATAAATAAATTAAATAAGAAAAACTATGCTTGAATCTTCGTTGATCTTCTTTGCTCTTGAATTTGCGTAAAAAGATTGATCCCAATTGTGTGCTTGGTTTGGTCTTATATAGGGTGAAAAACTTGGGGAAGAAGGCAGTTTCCTTGTGCAATTAAAATCCCTTTTCTGTGCAACTTCGGAGTCTCGGACGGGGGTCCCACGATGTGCACTAAAACTGGGACGGGGGTCCAAGCTTTAAATCTTCAGAATTTTGATTTTTTCACTTTTGGCCCATATTTTCTCCAAAATTGCAGTTTTGACCCCATACTTTTCCAATTCTTCAATTTGTACCTAAAATACAATAAATCAACTTTTTAAGCACCAATTATCTTTAAAACACACCAAAAGCTCAAATAAAAAGGTACGATAAAGTGTAAAAATATACACTTAACAGTTTCCCTTAAGCAAACAATCGAGCGCATTCTTTTGCTCCCACCCAAATCCAAGATTCTTCTTCCCAACTCAGAAATGAAACTTATCTTCGAGGAGCTTTCTTACTTGCAATCATTTCTCAAAGCAATCAGTCCTCCACAAAGCAGCCGCAACAAGAGAGTAGACGCTTTCGAGAGACAAATCAAAGACGCGGTGCATAAACTCGAAGATCTCATCGACTTCCATATATCAGATCAATTTCTTTCAGCATCCGATGACGGTTTGACTTTCGTCTTTTCTCAGCAACTACTCGAGTTCAGACAAGAAGTTAGTTCATTCACCAACAAAATATTGAAGACAAAGGAAGAGTACGACATTAACAGACAAAACCAACAACAGAGCGATTTTTCTGCTTCAGAAACCACCCTATCAAGAATTGTTGATTATGGTGGGACGAAGAAGAAAAAGATCGTGGGATTGGGTAAGGAACTGAGGGAACTAAAACATTGGGTTTTGTCGGACACATACGGACGTTGCTCTACGATGTTAATTGTCGGTATGGCTGGCATCGGTAAGACTATTGTGCTCAAACAAGTTTACGACGATCCAGAAGTCATAGATCATTTTGATCGACGTTTATTTGTGACGCTCGGCCTCCATTATCAGTTGAAAGAAACTCTGCTACTTGTGCTTGATCAACTCAAAGCTGATAATGAAGATATTCGTGAAGATTCTTTATCCAAGCTTGTATACCAGATTTTACTCGGCAAGAGGTATCTCATAGTGTTAGATGACGTATGGAATACACACATCAGGGAAGAACTCAAACACTATCTTCCAGATGAGGTGAACCAAAGCCGTATCATCATTACATCTAGGATGCGAGACTTCAATGAACTATTTATCGAGATACCATTGTTGAATGACGCTGAAAGTTGGAATCTACTTCGAGATTTAGTATTCACTACTACTGGAGGGTCGTGCAGTCCTCAACTTGAGAAGATCGGTAAGGAGATCGCCAAGAAATGCGAAGGGCTCCCTCTGGCAATTATCGAGGTCGGAAAGCTCCTGCGTAAAAAAGAGAAGACGGTCGAGGAATGGCAATTCATAGCAGACAAAGAAGATCCACTCACCATCAAATCAGATGACAACACACCCCTCTCATATGCACTACTTTTGAGTTACACGATGTTGCCCCAATACCTAAAGGTATGCTTTCTGTATGAGTGTCTTCCCAAAAGGATACGAGATTTCTCGCTCGAAGCTCACCAAATTGTGGGTTGCCGAGGGCTTTCTTGAACCACAAAAGAATAAGTGCTTAGAAGAAACGGCCGACGAGTGCTTGAAAGAACTTATTTCTCCGAGTGTTGTTTTGAAGAAGAGGCGGGGGTCTAAAGGTAAAAGGACAACTAAAACATGCAAACTGCATTTCACTTTTCGGAATCTGTACGTTAATGAAGCCAAGAGTGAGAACTTTTTCCACGTCATAAACAAGTACCCCGACAGTTTTCCAGAGGGTATAGATAGCCAGCGGAGGTTGTGCGCACACAACAACATTGTACTTGGTTTCGAACAAGCCCATATCTGGATGGAATCACTTCCAGTTCCAGGTGTACGTTCTCTTCTTTGTTACGGTCCAAAGCAACGATATCCAATAAGGTTGTACTTGCCTTTTCGTTTGCTCAAGGTACTTGACGCCGTTTCGATGCGGTTTTACGAATTCCCACATCAAGTAGTAGAACTATTTCATTTGAGGTACTTGGCAGTAACATCCAATGGGAAGATCCCAGCTTCCATATCACGTCTTTGGAACCTCGAAGTCTTCATTATCCATCAGCATCATCATAGGATAATCAAATCGTCGAATTCTCCTGTTTATTTGCCTGTAGAGATTTGGAAGCTGCATAAACTCAAACACCTGGAGTGCATGGGATTCGACCTGCCAGATCCAAACAGTGATGATTCTCTTATCCTGGAGAAGCTTTTAACACTTTCAGGTGTTAGCGCTCATAGTTGCACTAAAAGAGTTCTTACGGCAATGGAGTGGGAAATGTGGCGCGACGACTGGGTCGTGTTATTCGCCAGCCTGGAATTCCTGCTGATGGAAGATTTAGATATACGGCAATGGAGAGTGCAATCTTACCATTTCCCCAAGATGAAGCGGTTGATCATACGCCACTGCTACAGATTGACGGAGATCCCCATTTTCGAGCTTCACTATTCACTGAAAATCAAGGTCGATGGTTGCTCCCCATTGGTCACTCAACACTTGCTATCTAAGCAGAAGCTCAACAACCGATGGGTACGGTTTATATTGATATTCGGGTCAATTTTTCAGGTGATGGTGATGATGATGATGATGATGATGATGATGATGATGATGATGATGATGATGATGATGATGATGATGATGATGATAAGAAACCCCAATCCTGAATCTCAGAAAACACATTTTGTCTCTCACGTTTCAATAATTTGACGTTTTTTATCATTTCGGTCAATTTACCGTTAGTATGTCAATTAAGTCATTGATGTGCACATGCTGGATTATGTTAGTTTTAGCGGAAAATTGACATAAATAAGTAAAAATGTTGAATTTTTGAAACATGAGAGACCAAATGTATTTTTTGTAAATATAGAGGACCGAATATGAAATCGATGCAAACTTCAATGACGAAAACAGTATTTTTCCCAATCTTTTATTTATGAATAAATTATATCGTCACTTTTATTTTGTTGAGAAATTCAAATCATGTTACAAATTAGGGGAGGGAGGAGAATTCAAACCCTAGACCTTTACTCTAATAATAGAGGCTAGGAACCAACGCTCCCAATAAAAGATTAATGAATCATCAGTTTAACCTTTTCATTTTTCAATTATCCCCCAATTTTTCGATTTTTCTAGGAGTTTTTCGCATAAAGATTTGAGGTGAATACCTTCTGTTTCGGCCAAACTCAACATAAATTCAAATTCTGGAAAACATTTATGATCAAGTATATGTTCCGCATGTTTGTCGAGAAATAAAGAAAGAAAAAAACCCTACTAAAACACGTGGGAATATAATGGAACGCACACAATTTCGACGAAAATTTCCCAAAAAATAGCCAATTTGGTGATCGGTGCTCCAAGTGAAGTCGCTTTCGTTCTTGTCGACCTCGTAACAACTTGTTTTTCACTTGAATATGTTGCAAATAGTATACACACCCTCTCTTGTGTTGATTTTTATTACATCCAAAAGTATGTAATACTTCATAGGTAGTCAATGTTTTTCTTTCATAACTTGCGTTTTAATACACAATTTCGATATTCGTAAAGCTTCTGCTTTCGTCGCTTTGAAGGTTGACAGTCAAAAGTCCATCCTCACAACTGTAAGTGAAGTTCTCTTCTTTGTTGTCAACCTTACAACAACTCAGTTTCTCGCTCGAATATGCTCTGCATACTTGTTGGGTGGTAAATACCTAACACGCAAGTGCACGTATCGCAAATAAGTAGTAAAAGTGGACTCGTGAGAGTCGGATGTCGATCCCACAGGGAATACTCAAATTATCTAATCCTAAGTACCAAATTCTAACAATTATGATTTTTATCCAGCCTACGCAAAATTGTCAAATTTAATCAACTAAATAATTAAGCTAATTATGAAAGCAAATTAACACGAGAAAATATCAATAAAAATGGACCTAGGATTTTATCTTCCCCGTATGCAAGAATTGCTCACCAAAACCCCTCAATTATGAAATATATGATTCATAATTATTAACCCGAGACACTAATTTACTCATAACCCGCTGTCGCGTGTATTATGAGTCTATTATTCATAAAGGGTTCACTATATGTCTATGCAAACAAATTATGAATAAAGCATTAACTAACAAGTCTCATAAATGGCTACCTAAGGTGATATCTGTATGTCCACGACACCACATGCAATTGACACACTCATCCGGTGAAAACTACTCGAAGGTTCTTATACTTACCACGTGCCAAAAATAGGTATTTGTTAATGACTTATTTGTAAAGTGGTCCTTTACATAAGTTGTCAGGGAAGAAAATAAGAAAATAAATATTGTAATTCTACCTTTTAAAGAGTTGTGAGTAATTGAAACTAATCCGAAAATACTAATTTCAACCGATTAACACCTTCATCATCTTATATTGCTGAATATAAATTTACTGTACCGTACGACTCCATAAAAAATAAGGAAGATTTTCTGATTCATTGAGAATATTTTATTAGGGCTGAAAATATTTTATTGGTCGTAAAACATGAAAATGACAAAAACAGAAAACAGTTCTGATACGGACCAAATTGTCCTCATGGGGTTTCCTAATCATTTATTGGGCTGTAAATTGAGTTTTCACTTGTATTTGACCCAAAATCATATCGGGCCCAAGAAGAGGAGTTATGGCAAGTTTACTTATTTCTTGCCCATCAAGTATCATCACCTATAAATAGGGAGTTATTCTCAACTTATCACTCCTATGCTCTCTCTTACATATCACACTCGATTATCTCTCGATAAACACTGACTTGATCGTCGGAGCTTCTATGCCGGGAAACCCCTCCCGGCGTTGCAGGTACCCCTCCGGCGGAATCCCCGACGAGCTATCATCCAAAATATCTTCCAAGGATCCTACGTCATCGTCTTGGTTATTTTGGTGCAAATCAAGTGGCGCCGTCTGTGGGAAAGATCTCGAGCTAAGACGTGAGATGATTTGATTTTTTGGATCTTCCCCATGAGGTTGGAGATAATGAGCTGCAATATTGAAGAAGAACGGTTCACTGTATTTCTTGGGGAGTTTTTTAACGGGGAACCAAGAAAGGGGCTCAAATCTTGTGCTTGGAATCCAGATCTGATGAATCGATGAAGTACAAAGAGGAGAATCCACATCTGATGAATCGATCAGAGTAGATTCACGAGGTAAATAACATGAAACGAGTCCAAATCTTGAATCAAGAGCTTGACGAACCCGAGGTGGGAGAAGAACTGAGAGAAACAACAGTCAACCCCGTCTCAGTGTTCGTCGATCCATGTCCACCGAGCTAAGTCTCGCCGATCTCGTCTGACGAGATCGAATCTCGCAAAACCTGGATCTGCTGAGCCATCCCTCGCCAAACCTATGCTCGCCTGTCGAACGCCTCCCGAGCTGAATTTCGCAGGCTCATCACCTCGAAATCCGATTCTCTTCTCCTCGCCGAAGCCCAGAGCGGCCAATTGAGCAATGAGCTCGGTCAATTTTTTTCTTTCGTACGGGCCAGTGCGCCCCCACCCGAAGGCTCCGCCTCTCCAGATCTGACCGTCTAAGGCTGTCACCCGAAAGAAAGGGGATGTCAATTTGGAATCAGATCTGAAATCAATTTGGTAAAAATCTCCACGAGAGCACCACAAGTGACAAGAGCTGTTGTCCGTAAACTCTTTCAGCGAGGGAAGTTCGAGCTTTTCTGACGAAGCCTAGTCCTAGGGGCATTCTTGTGAGGCAGTGCCACCCTAGTTCTCTTGACTTTGGGTTGAAGCAACTGGCATGTTTTTGTTCGGAGTTTATATCGCCCAGAGGCAAAAGAAAATCGAATTGAGCGAAAGACAAATGTGAACAAGAAAGAAAAATTCGAATACGAACTAAAGAAATTTTAAACAATTGTTGGAAAATGCCGATTTGTTGAAAGTTAGATCGGGGAGAAAGGTTCAATTGCATGATGTTGCGAACATGCTGTTTGATAAGATGTCTCAGAGAACACGCCGGTGCTACAAATTGAGCTCGAGTTTCGAGGAAATCATTAAAGGGATCTGGGATTATTTGGCAGGATATTGTATCCCCAAAATTAAGAGATGCTATCGAGGCCGTCCTTTATTCGACGAGCTCCGAGAATGCAGATTACGAACCTCTAACTTCGTATTTCGATTAGCCGCTGGTGGCAGTGCATTGGTGTGGTACAGCGCGAGGAAAATCATACGAAAATGAGCTGGACTTTGAGAAGCTGAGGCGAGCTATTACAATGTACAATCTCTTGCTAAGAGATGAGAGTGACAACATATTAGCATTCGACAACACAACTATCGACGACGAATGATATTAAACATCAAATTGGGTGGCAAGAGGAAATCGAAATGATTCTTGAATGAGACTTCTCTCCGATTATCGAGACGGTGAGGCTGATCTCCGAGAAAGATGTTTGGGAAGAGGTCGTTTTGGCCCGTGAAAAATCGTTACAGGTGGGAGGCATCACAATAATACTTGTGGAAATATGAGATAAGCTAATATTGGAGCTCGATCTTGCATGAGTTCGATACGGTTCAGTACGAGACGAGATGAGATGGGACGACTCAATCACGACATAAAGACACTAAACAATTGGATCTATGATTTGGTTTTCATAGGATGGTGTTCAACAGTTTCTGAAAAGAGGTGTGGAATAATAATTTTCCGGGGTCTTGTGTCGCTTGAGTTCGGAGCTAACAAACACAAAATTGCCAATTGAAATCGACTCGCACGGTGTTCCAAAGAAAAATTCCGTTGCACACTGAAAAGTCACCCAACGAAGATATAACTCGGAGGAGTGGTAGAGTATCAATATATGCCCAGAAAAAATGCAAGTTACATCTCCTCCAAACCCGAGAGCAACTTCAGCCCATATTTGTCAACGCGAAATCTACAACGGGATTGGTAGAAAGTAAGAAGAATCGAAGAGTTTCTTTACCACGAGATGAATATTTCAAAGGCGCGAGCTCAATGATGGGACAAACCTCTCCAAGAGCTCGGACTATCTGTATATAAGCTCACCATGACTCACGAAAGATTCGCTGGTCTTGGAGCTCATAAATTATTTCCCTCGAGTTTCTAGAAGAGCAAATCTATTTATAATGGCTCTAATTGAGCCAGGTCGACTGGACTATTCTCAACGTGATTTTCCCGAAATTGGATTTCTTTAGCTCGAATATTTTCAAAAGTCACCTCTTGCAGTTCAAATTTCCCGAAGTTTAGATTTATTTCTAAAACAATGATTCTTGGGGCTCGTGTTTATTGCTTGGAGCACTAATATATTACCTACAAACGTCTTGTCGAGGAATCCACATTTACAGAGACAGTCTTCTTGAGCAGCTTATGGTTGTTAAAAATTCTCCGTGATTTGAATTTTTCAGAGTTCGCCCTTCTTGAAGCTCGAATTTGCCTCGTGCATCTCAAACTCCGGGAAATATTTCTTAAAACTCTTAAAAGGCCAGAGTTATATCTCGAACACAAAAGCGAGTAATTAACGATCCCGTTTGCCGCTGAGCTTTTTTCTTATCTCGAAGTGGAATTCTTTAAGGCTGGTAGTCCTCTCCTACCTCGCACTGGTCACATAAACCTCGATCGCCATCTCGAGCATAAAGTTACGAAAGAAAAAACCTCTCATAATCACCTCCCGAGTTGGGTATGAATCCTTGTTTTTATCATTTCAGAATTGGTAAATGGTTTCCAATACGGATTAGCTGAGTGCCACTACACACCATAATGAGATAATTACAACATAAGGAGTTGTCTTGCGTATTCTCTGCATCAAACTCGAGCTAGGATATGGTCATTGCGAGTTAAAAACAAGAAGCTCGATTTCTTGATACGGACCAAATTGTCCTCATGGGGTTTCCTAATCATTTATTGGGCCGTAAATTGAGTTTTCACTTGTATTTGGCCCAAAATCATATCGGGCCCAAGAAGAGGAGTTATGGCAAGTTTACTTATTTCTTGCCCATCAAGTATCATCACCTATAAATAGGGAGTTATTCTCAACTTATCACTCCTATGCTCTCTCTTACATATCACACTCGATTATCTCTCGATAAACACTGACTTGATCGTCGGAGCTTCTACGCCGGGAAACCCCTCCCGGCGTTGCAGGTACCCCTCCGGCGGAATCCCCGACGAGCTATCATCCAAAATATCTTCCAAGGATCCTACGTCATCGTCTTGGTTATTTTGGAGCAAATCAGGTTCACACTCGATAGACCGGATATCCGAGTTGCCAGAAGAAATCTTGCAAAGAATACTGTATTTCCTCTCCCAAAAAGAGTCTGTTCGTACCTCCGTCTTGTCGAAATCATGGCGTAATATTTGATGTACTCGCCCCAATCTCGATTTTTCAGACAACAACTTCAAAGGAAAGAAACAAGAATTTATATCCCTTATCAACAATAGTTTACAACGATATCGCGACCAAAAGCTATGCGTAGAGGAATTCGGGCTTTATATATCGTTAGATGATTCGGATCGCAAATCGATTTTGCTCCTCGAAAAATGGATCCGAACACTAAAAAGTATGGGTATTGTGAAGTTTTGTCTTTCTATTTGTTCGAAACAGAGTTCGGGACTTATTCATCTGCCCTCTGTAGTCTTCGAAGTAGCCGAACCGCTACAAGATTTGCATGTCGAAAAATTCACGTCGGACCAAAAGTCTTATCAAAGGACGGTACTCTCTAAGCATCCGAAAGAAGTTCGTCTACAAAAAGTCTACATTGAGGACGACAATTTTCGGATGATAATCGCAAGCTGTCCTTCGGTTGAAACTTTGTTCGTCAGAGCATGCGAGGGGTTAAGAAATATTGAGGCGAATAATCTTGTTCATCTAAACAAGTTCATTTTTTCACCTTATAAGGTGCCCTTGGCAGAAGAGGAACTTTGTAGCATCGAAATAAATCCCCCATCTCTTAAAAGCATCGACGTTACTTACGGTAATCTTAGGTTCGAAAGAGGAGTTGATTTTTGTAATCTGAGTGAGTTACATATAACTGGTGTGGAACTGTCATGGGACAACTTGTCGTCGTGTAAATTGCCGAGCCTCGAAAGGTTGATCATTGTCGGTCGCCTTCGGTCCAAGGAAATCAACCTATTTGTCGATGCACCGAAAATAACCTATTTTGCATATAGTGGAGATTTTATCCTATCGATCTCGTTTGCAACAACTACTTCGAAAGAGTGGATCTCGGTTATAGGCCTAACTATGCATCCGAATGGTGTTCCCTCTTCGTGGCTCCACAAGCTAAAAGAACTGCTCGACTCATTAAGCCAATCAAAAGTTTCTCTTCGTATTTCTATCAGTCGTGAGTATCAGATGAATGACGACATAATTCAAGAAAACATTAACCTGATACAAGAAAATTGTTGCGATAAATATTTTGTGGTGGAGAGATTGAGTTTGAGTTGCCACTTGTGTTCCTATTCATCTCTTTTAAACGGTGTGTTTAGCATTTGTCGTCCAAGAAAAATCTGTTTGTCCGGCCTCATGAACTCGGAGACAATGGCTATCGAGTGTGTGTGGAATTTTCTAATGCAGAGAGAAAGTGGAGAACAAGGTGATCAGTGCAGGAAGTTTTGGGAAAGAGATTTAGAAGAAGTAAGCATGGAGATTATTGGGAAAAATCGTGAAGGATGGCATTCGATAACTCTGTCAGAATTGCTAAACCATCAAGAAATCGGATCGAGTATTCGCTTTACATTGAAATGGAGCAATGGGGCAATCTGAAGTCTTTCTTTTTGTTGATTAAAATTTAAAACATAGTTTTACCTGCTTCGTCCTAAAGTTTATTTTGTTTCTGCTTGTTTGGCTTCGTTTTCTCATTCATTTGTTTACAAGAATACTCTTTATTAACTATTTTATTTGCATATCGTCAGTTATCAAAATTAGATAGAGATATAAGAAATACGGGGGTTTTCCATTCCACACGGGCTCCAATTTTTGGGTGTATAATATGTAATAAGCGAACACTGAGTTTTAAATGCTTAACCCGGTTTGGTTCAGGTTTACCTATATGTCGATCGGCAGTTTAACCATTAAATAAAAAGCCGGCGTTTAACCGGCTAAATCGGCCGATAATGTGGAATTGGCATCCTCTCTCCTTGAGAGAGCTTTTAATTTGGAGATGAGTTCTACCCAAATCTATTTAACATCTGCCAATTAGTCCACTTTCCCTCCATTTTACCCGCCAAATCAGAGTAAGAGGTAAAGTGATATCGAGTCAAAGTACAAGAAGGAAGTGGAATTTACCCATTATAATATGTAATTTTTTTAAAGACTTTAATTTATGCTATTTTAAGAAAGGAAAAAAAAGGTATAATTATTTACTGAATTTTGTTCTATTACTCCACAAATAATTCTATAAAAATACTTGCGTAAAATAAATAAGGACGAATTATTTATACGGCTCAAAATCTATCTCCAAAATGAACGAAAAAGCCGCCTTTGTTGGAATTGTGATCAACGGCATACTCTGCTCTCACATTGCCGATTTTGACCCCAGCGCCGTACGATGAACCGTGGCCATTTCGCATGTACGACTTTGTAGGGTTTCCTTCGACTGATACCGAGCTCCCCAAATCGTTACCGTGTTCTGCAAATGCATAAGCATATGCACTTTCTTTAACTGGTACTCTTATCTCAGCAGCTAACTGCACCACATTAATTAATTCTCCACCAATCAGTTGTATTCAAAACACATTTTATAGCGCAATATAAGTAAAAATTAGTTTATTGCAATTAGTACCACTGTATTATATCGAATCGCTGAAAAACTATCCCACGTTATTTTATTGCCAAAAAAAAACACCTACGATTTAAATTTTTTTTAGCAATTAGAACCTATTTTGGGAGTTGTGTGCTAAAACCAATTGAATCATGGGGGGGTTTTGTCACATATGGTAGTTTTTTTAGCAATTCGATATAACACAGGAGTACTAATTGCAATAACTTATTGGATATTATTACAATATATTATTTCGTACCTCGAGTTTGTTTCTTGACGCCCCAATCTCTCCAACGCTGTATCCCCTTACAGAAGTTGGTCCGCCGATGGTGAAAGCTTCATGATTTGGAAGATCTCCGACACAACCGCCGTACATGCCGTGGAGGACTAAAACTGGCGGCGGCGCTTTGCCTTTGCCTTCCTCAACTTTCATTAGCGGGAAGAATCTTGTCGTCGATATTTTGTGACGGTTGAAAAATGCAAACTTACTACCAATGCCGAGCCCTTGATCTACCTGCACATTTCAAAGTTCAAACACAATAATTTGTATGGTACCAAAAAAAAATATCACTAGACATAGTAGAATTTAATTTACTCTATTTAATTATAGTGCCCCCAAGCTCATAACAGACATTTCTCAAATCCCTATTATTTTATAATTTTTCGTGTATGGTAGTATTATCGGGCTCTTAGAAAAGTTTTAATGCATTCTGCCTCTGCGGACTTAACTTAAAGTCTTGGCTCAGCTACGAGCATTTGATATCTTGCACTATACAAAAAATCAGATGCGCATTTGATAATGTAGAGTTAATTATCAATGGTCGAACACGAAATTAAAAAAAAAGGGAGACGAAAACGAAACCTGAAAAATATCCCTCGTGCCAACTAATGCGCCGTTGAGAAATCTAGTATTGTCTCGTGTTAGATTAGCTTGTAAGAAGGCCATACGATCAACCCCCGTTCCGCTCAAAGTCGTTGGAGGTCCGTTTGCTATAACTTCTCCATTATACGACACCGTATTGCCCCTTCCCACAATATCACCTCCTTCGTCTCGTGTTTTTACCTCTTCCATCACTAGTCCATAGCTGAATTTGCTCTGCCTGCTATAATCCTTTTTTTTTTAAACGACAAAAACAAAAACTTCAGCCCCGTTTTTTCGTCAAGATCAAAATCTGACGAACTAACTACATTATATATAAACGTTGTTACAAGATTTGATTACCTCAGTGATGGTGGCCTTAATCCCGTCCCTACATACCCATATCGGGCTGTTTGAAACCCCTGGCCCGCCCGTGCAAACGGGGCTGACTTTTTTAGTATTGAAGCACTCCGCCTTGAAAGTTCGATTCCTTGGGTCATCTATCCCGTCTAAGTATGGGTGGGTGTAGTCAAAGTTATAACTAATATCGTCCTGTCATATGAAAAAATACAATATTAGCAAAATCGAAGTAATTTCAATACAAGTGAATCGTGTAAGATTATCGTAATCTTATTAGAGCCTTTTAATTGTATCGTTCTACTAGAAATTTCTACATATGCTCAAATTTTGAACATGCCCGAAAAGTTATTGAATTAACCGAACACAAAATAAAACTCAACATTAGGAGAATTGATACATAACCTTTAACATTAAATTTGAATTAAAAAAAAATGTATAACAAAAATAACAATCTTAATTTAGTTGGAAGATTTGGAGGGAAAAGTCACCTCAGGACTGAAGAGGTTGCCGAGGGTGATTGCACCTTGTAATGACCGATTTAGCCCTTTGATATTCCGATAGCCGAACGACACAGTTGCACCGGGCTGTATAGATGCCTGATCATTCATTGCATCAATAATGAAATTAATCAGCAACAAATAGTAAATGGTAAACGATGTGTATACGATATAACTAATTCACTAATCCAAATACGAAGCAATTTTTTTTTGTTTTTTTTTTTGTTTTTTACCAGTGTTGGTCGGCTGTTACGGCCCGGTACAATACTCCATTCCGTACTAACATCGGACCACTTTTGTTGTAGTTCTTGCAATGCGAATTGAGCAGAGATGCCTCCGTTATTTTTCTCGTCCGATCCATAACCGCTACTTATAGAAGAGAAAATATTGAGAGATCCAAGGTTTTGCATAGCTTCCTCAAACGCCCTTCTGTTATAAACATTGCCTACCGCAACCTGCAAAACGCAATCAATATATGTAAATTATATTAACAACACATTATATGTAACTATTTAACAACACAAGCACAGTATATTACACACACCCACCATTTGGCAAGGATGAACTCCACCTCAATTAATTTTTTGTCCATTATATTATATGTATAATTTTGTTTACCCAATCTATTTTTATTATTAAAACTACCGAAAATCCAAATTAATGCAAAAACAAAAAAAAATCCTAAAATATTTCTTTTCTTTTTTTCTTTATGCAAATTAAAATCCTAATTATTTTTGGACCACTACTTATTCGCGCTTATAAATTTAAGATTTAAGCACTCTCTCTAACAAATTTTTGGACTTGTTGCTTTTACGCGCACATGGCGAATCTAACCCATGGCTAGCTGGAAGACTCAAGCCCCCCTCAATTACTATTTTTTCTATTATATTATACCTATATTATTATTTAGCTCACCTGATTTTTATTATTTATTCCACCTAAAATTCAAAATATGTAAAAAAAGTTCTTAAATTTTTTCTCCTCCTATTCATTTTTTACTCGAGGGCGCTGCCCCCAAACCCCTGCTAAGCCCACCCTATAAACAATTCCTGGACTCGTCACTATACTAGCATGACTTTGAGTAGAATGTCTATGACACTACTAAGTCTATAACTACTACAAGCCCTAAAAAAAAAAAAAAAAAAAAAAAAAAAAGTTGAAAATTGTACCTCCTTAGGAAGTACTCTCTTGATAAGAGCAATATCGGTATTTCCTTCACAAACAATCCCCAACTTGTGTTGAAACACAATCCCAAGCTTAGTTATATCCCCTTCAACCATCTCTACAACAATATCTCCGCCGTGATTGTTTTCGAGATTATTATGATTTATGACGAACGCGCCATGGTACCCGTTGTCGTGGTACCACTTTTGTATTTTATTCAGTACCCTTCGTAAGAGGCTCGCTCTCAAACATGTTGTCTGCATGAGCATCCCCCGAATCTCACCCTCGACTTCTTTCGGCAAGATGCACTCTCTGCCGCCGTTGATTCTCCTCTTATACTTTTCGTTCTCCCTCCTCATCAACTCAACTTGTTCCTTCGCCGTCATGTTGGGGTCGATCTCGACGGGCTGTTCGTCAGGGATCAACCCTATGCTGACGCACCTTATTCGCGATTTGGACGGGTACACCGTCTCTTCGAAGGGTATGTTGACGTCGACCGAGCCGTCGGGGTTCGTTTTGAAGTCGAAGTCGATTTTGTCGAAGTAGGGTGAGGATGAGAGGGACTCCAGCTCTTGAATTAGGGTTTGCTTTGTGTAGACGCCGCCGGGCTGGAGGCTGACCATGTCGGAGAAGGACTCCTCCGCGCCTGTGGCGGCGGCGCGTGTGCGGGGGTTGAGGAAATTTATTCTGGAGACTTTGTACTTTTTGTACCCGCTCAGCCTTTTTAGCTGCACCACCACGCCGGCCTCTAGGCCGTGGGAATCCCATGGTCGGGATTTGTCTTCTAGCGCCAGCGCCGGTGGGCAGAAAATATTGGACGGTGCGTTTTCTTTGTGGTTTCTCTCTCCTCCGCCGCCGCCGCCGCTGCGGTGGCTGTTGAAGATGAGGGAGCCGAACCCTTGGAAGAATTTGATGACGCCGTGTAAAGGATCGAAAGGCGGGTGTTTTTGCGAATTAGAATTATTTGGCGCCATCGAATGGCCGGAGGAGGAGGGAGCTGCCGCCGGTTCTGTAGAGGATGGTGTTTGGAGGGGAAGCGGCGGAGTAGTGGTGGCGGTAGAAAGAGAGAGAGAGGGATTGTTTCCTAAAGACCAAGCACAAAATTTATTTAAGTATCTATCAAAATCAAATTGTGTAAAGTATGCCATAAAAAGAGTCCATAACCTTTAGAATCTTAAAATTGCCATACATTGTTAATTATCCCAAGTAATTCTATGCAAGGAAAACCAATGTTATTAGGACCGGACCGGCCGGTCGGACCGGTCCGACCGCGACCCGCAACAAAAGCGGTCCGATCCGATGCCTAAAACCGGCCAAATCAAGAACCCGGGTCAAATCACAAAAACCCGGTTCGACCGGTGAAAACCGGCTAACCCGGAAACCGGTCAATGACCCGGGTTTTCATCTAATACACTTCGTCGGTGGCTATTGGCGGCGGGATTTGGGTGAAATTCACGAGGGATGACCGGTTCTAGGTGGAGCAGGCGGTGGGTGGCCCAGAGTTCAGTGAAGCAGGCGGTGGGTAGCCGGAATTCCACAGACCAGGCGGTGGGTGGCCGTAATTCGACGGAAAGAAGAAGAAGAAAAATAAATGAAAAGAAAATGGAGAGAGAAAGTAGAAATATTTGTGAAGAATAAAGAGAGAGAAAGTGATGAAGATGAATAGGTAGGTGACGGGAGAGAGAAGGTGAAGAGAAGAGAGAGGAGAGAGAAGATGAAAAGAAAAATAAGAATAAAAAAATATAAAAGAAAAAAAGGGTGTTGGGAATTGGGATAATAAAAAAGAGAATAGATTATATATAAAAATAAATAATAAAAGTAAATAGAGAGAAAAATATAAAAACAATATATACAATATATAAATTAAAATATTAAAATTAATAAAAATAGAAAAAATGAAAAAACCCGGGTCGAACCGGTTGAACCGGTCCAACCATGACCCAAACGCCTAACCGATTTTGTGTCCGATCCGGTTCTGATAACATTGAGGAAAACCAATTACCATATTTTCTTTTTATTTTTATTTGATTGATAGTGAGACGTGGCCACAATCCAGGTAGTTAGAATGACTAGGATTATTAAAATTAAAGTCTTCCGCTGATTTTATTATTTTTTCACCAAATTCCAATTTTTATGGTGAAAAAATGAATTTATCTTCTGTTAGTAGCACGCTATTTTGGAATCAGTTTTTGTGAAAATTTAGTGTTTTTGGTCTTCCATGCATTTCACCATTTAGCCCAAATAACAAAATTATAATAATATTTTACTATATTTTTATTTTTGTTTTTGTAATGAAAGAACCCGCAACAAATTATATAGGTGCACTGAGTAAATCTACACTGTCGTATAACAGCTTGAAAACTATATGAAATACGTAAATCACACTAGGCTAACCATGTGTGACAAGCTCCACCTAGTGACCATTGGCAAGGCGATTCGAACTTGAGTCAATTGACACGGGTTCACTTGCTCCAATCGTTACCATCCTAGGGGTGGTAAACGAGCCGAACCGGTTCGAACTCGAGCTCGGGTTTTTCGAGCTCGAGCTCGAGCCCAAATATAGTTGTTCAGCAACTCGCGAGCTGGTGTCTATTTTTTTTTTTTTACATATTATTATTACATATTATTAATATTATTATTATTATTATTATTATTATTATTATTATTATTATTATTATTATTATTATTATTATTATTATTATTATTATTATTATTATTATTATTATTATTATTATTATTATTATTATTATTATTATTATTATTATTATTATTATTAGGGTAAACTTCAATTTACACACCTGAACTATACCCAACGTATAGAAAATCCCCCTAAACTTTGAAACGAATCAACACAGCCCCTCCATTAAATATCCGTCCACTTTTGCAGATGTGGCATGTTGATTTTTTTGGGTTATTATCTTTATTCCAGCTGTTGTATATGTCGGACAAGTTTACCCCTCTGTTGAATATAAATGTTTATGAATAAACTGCAAAAGGAGAAATAAAGGTCAGACTGCAATTCATGTGAAAGTTTAGGGACTTGATTGCATTTTCTCCAAAAAAATCTTTCCTGGACACCTTCACCATCAGCAGACCTCTTCCTCCGAATGTTTGAAAAAAAAAAAAAAAGCCATCATCTTATTGTCCGACCCACCAGAATTCACGTCGTCCCCATCATCTATTGGAAATCTAGCTACTTCGTCGGAATCTAATATTCCATAGAAAAAATCGAAGAAGAAGAGGAAACTCCACCTGTGCGGCCCAATGAAACTGACCCGAAGAAACTCCGCCGCGTCGCCGACGCTTCTATTCCGATTAACCACCACCGACATCTCCGCCATCGACTCTGCCGCCTCATTCCACAGCCCAAGTCGCATGTGGTTGATTTGTGGATAAAAGTAGTGATTCAATTGCGTAAACTAGTAAAGGAACAGAATATCTATTTGTTGATATATATATATAAAGTGGAAGAATACAAACAGCTTTTTAATCCAGTTTTTGAATCAGAAGAAATAAAAAGGGAGAAATAAAGAAAGAAAAAGAAAAATTACGAAGAAGAAGGAGAAGGGAGGGGAGAAGGGAGGAAGAAGAAATTTTAAGGGCAAAAGCGTAAAACACCAACAAAACTAACGGTTTTGATGTAAAACTAACGGTGTTAAGTTTTCTAACGTTGACCACATAAAATGTGGGTTGTTTTGATTAGGGGTGAGTTCGGGACGGGATTTCGGGAATTCGGGATTTTCGGGATTGGGATTTCGGGATTCGGGATAGAAATTTTAAATTTCAATCCCGTCCTATAATATTAAATCCCGGTAATATCGATATCCCTAAATATTTCGAGAATTCGGGATTGGGATCGGGAATCCCATATTTTGCCTAAAAACTAAGAAATATTGTTTTTTTTTTCCATTAGTATTATTTTATACATTAAACTAACTTGAATATATTATATACATACTATTATTATTGCACTATTTATTTTTACCACAAAACTTGGAACAAATGAAATTTGAAAAATTTAAAAATAAGTTGAAACGATATATTATATTGTATTTCTCATCTCTTGACAATATATACATATATATATAT